AATGTCAAAAACAATGCAGTTTTCACTAATCTCCCTTAGAACACTACAGTTTCACTTAAAGATATACTCAGGGTGAAAGGTGAAGGCACAACTACTCCATTGACACCACCCAGTGCTGCACAGAGACTGGGTCTCCTGGCGTTGTACTGGCCACTCCCATGACTGTGCAGCCTCCTCCAGAAGTCTTTGAGTTTGTAGACTGGAGACCAAATCCTGACAAAGATATTCATTGTGAATGCTACCTTAATTACCTAAAGTATCTGTTAGGGTCATCTTGTCTCTGCTACTCCTAGGGAGTGGTGTCTCTTTGTTTGACCCAGCTGAACAAGCTAACATTTAATGCAAATATTAGACCATCATTGTCTGGCTTTAAACCGCCCAGCAGGTTTGGTTTAGATCTTCCTAAATGTGTTGAAAGAGGCATGATGTAAATCTGTGTGCAGCGTGGGCCCCTGAAAGGTCTCTCAGGTTCCTGTGTAAGGGCTAGCAGATTTGATGCTCTGGGCCTGACACACTGCTCGCCAGCTTACACAGTAGAGATGGCGGTGGCAGAGGCTCCCCTAATGGATTCCTCCCAAATTAATTAATTATAACAGCCTTCCAGTAGCTGAAGGGGACCTACAGGATAGATGGGGAGGGACTCTTTATCAGGGACTGTAGTGATAGGACAAGGGGTAACGGTTTTAAATTGAAATAGAGGAGATTTAGACTAGATATCAGGAAGAAATTCTTTACTGTGAGGGTGGTGAGACACTGGAACAGGTTTCCCAGAGAAGTTGTGGATGCCCCATCCCTGGAAGTGTTCAAGGCCAGGCTGGATGGGGCTTTGAGCAGCCTGGTCTAGTGGGAGGTATCCCTGCCTGTGGCAGGGGGGTTGGAACTTGAGCATCTTTAAGGTCCCTTCCAGCTCTAACCATTCTATGATTCTATGATTCTTGTTTCATCAAGAATTTTTCAAGGATTCTCCTGGGAGTTACACCTACGTGTAACACTTGCCAACAGTTAATTCTTCAACCTTTCCAGATGTGTTTGAGAATGAGGTGACTGTGTTCCATCAAGCAGCAGCCCTGAGAAGAGGAGTCATTTGGAGAACTTAGTGGGTTCTCCAGTGGGGAAAATTTCCCAGTATGTGGTCCTGGCACAGGTGCCAAGAGGCTGCAGTGGGGCTGCTGGAGCACCGAGCATGTCCTGATGGTTAGATTTAATCAGTTCCTTTCCAGCATGTGGGCTTCCTGGCTGGCCCAGGAACTACCAACAACTGGCCCTGTTGTACTATCTCTGGTACAACATGGGAAGTTGTGACAACTCACTTAGATGCCTTAAGTAATATCAACAGTAACAGAAAACTTTTGTGGCTGTTCTGATAGCCAAGATGGGCTCCCCAAAGAGATGCTGTGAAACTGTCAGACTGCCCCAGTGAGAATTTCCAGCTTGCTGCCATGTTGTTAAGGCCATGTTTGCCTCCCTGCAGCAGCCAACAACATGAGCAGGATTTCTGTGCAATGTCTGAGGTGAGGGAAGATCCATGACAACTCACTTTGTCAAGGGAATGATTTCATAATACTTCTTTTTGCCTAATATCTGTCAAATATCTTCAATTTTTTACTTGACTGAAATGCTACTTCTGGAAGTAACACAGATTGTTTTGAGACCATGAAAGGATAAAATAAGATTACTGATGTGAAGGTGCATAGTAGTTCCCGCTTAAATATGGTTATCAACTGGGTCCTGCTCAGTACAGTTTGAAGAAATAGCAATGTAGAAAAATGTTATGTTTCAGAAGCTATTCTCGATAATTTATTGCCGCTGCATACTGAGCTGGCTGCATGCCCGAAGAGAGTATGTAGTTTAATATTAAGACTTGAAGTAAAACAAGCAAGGAAGAATGGCTCAAGAAACCACTTCAGAGTTGCTGAGAAAACCTCTGGACAGAACAAAACAAACAATCATAAATAATATTAGAAGGACATGAGTGATGTTCAAAAAATTCCCATTCAAGATAGAAGGGGAGTTTTGCAAGGGAGGTGGGCAGAGAAGACAAATCTATAATGAGGGTACAGAAACTCACTGGTGTGCTTAAGGACGTGCTGTCTTAATGATGGTGTTACCCAGATCACCATCCCCAAATGAGAAATAATATGAACAGTATTTCAGACATATATAGGCTTGTTCCTAAATCTTCAAAATTTTGCTTCCCCAGTTGAAATAAATTTTATTTTTAATTTAAGAATTCTATTTGGGCATCAAATGTGCCACTGATTACAAACTCCTTACAAGGAAAAAAAAGAGGTTGCCAAATTTACATTTGACTGGTCTAAGGGTGGAAACTCAGGGACCATACTGAACTCATGAACAGAACAGAAGTATCATTTATCTTGTACTACTCAGAACAGGCAGATTCTGTATGCCTTTGGAAGAAAAGAAAGCTTTTTTTTTTTTTTTTTAATGGGCACCGCTGTATGAATTGTTTTCAGCAGTTTCTTCTGCTTGTAACAAAGTTGGCAGCATACACAAATTGTGTTTTTTCCATCTTCCCTCTACTTGTTTACTCTTCAGTGTTACTGGAGATTTGTCTCTGCTTATAAATTAGAATGAAACAAGAATTCAACAATTGTCACTTAAATGCGTGTAACAACTATTTAAGAGGAGATTTGGACACTGGCTTTGCTCTGCCTTTCCTCCTGTCTGTACATAAAGTAGGAGATTTGCAGTCAGTAAGTACATTTACTTAGGAATGCCCCTGCAGGGTAGATCTTAATCACTATTTCACTGTGAACTCTCCTAGCAAGGACTTAGCCAGGATCTCTGTCAGGGTGCTATGTGTGATAGCCTGTATCTGTATGGCTGAGGTTATTTGTTATACTATTAAGTCTAGGACTTAACAGTAATCATTGCTTTTGACAACATTTTTACACCGTGCTGTCTTTATTTAGTTAATTTCTTTCCACTAGAAAGACATTTTTCCACAGCCCTATTTCTAAATAATAGAAATAAGTAACTTGACAAGGACATACATTTGCTTCAACCAGAGTCGTGGAGGAGTTTTTAGTCTGAATAGCAATGCATGAGTGCTGCTAAAATTTGAGAGACAAGATAATCCTTTTTTTTTTTTTAATTCTTGGAGGCTTTCCTGGAATGATAAATACTTATTTACATAGTAAAAAAAAATCAAAACCAGGACTGCATCACTGCATCTGTACAGTTTTTGAAATGTTTTGACACATTCGCTGAGATTTACTAGGTAATTTCACATGCTTGTCTGGCAATTTATAATCCATTATTTTGCACTATAGGTTGCATCCTTGAGTTTATTTTATGGCATAGACATAAAGTAAACTAAATGACAGCAGCCCCTGCCCTCTCTCTTTTATCTATGGGAATGACCTTCAGTAAACAGAATCCAAGGGATGCTGCGCATGCATTTTGCTATATATTTATATTAATGGGAATGGTTCTGAGTAAATGAGGAAGCAAGACTTGGCTTAGGGTAGAGTAACAATGCAATTATTTAATAAACCACATGTCAAAAGAATCTCTCAGGGTCAGTATTGCATCAAAAGGTGCACTGTTTTGAAACCATCTTTGGGCCTTGGTTTTCTAATATTAGCTGCTGAGAAAAAAATGTAAAAAACCTGGCTTATTTCTCTATGAGCTGATGGGTTTCTACAGTAAAGTTGGGATATATATAAAATACAGCACAAAACTCCCACTCAGTTAAGGGCAGAATTAGTCTCCCCAAATTGAAGATTCATTATTATTAAAGGAGAGAAGTAATTAAGCATTGTATACCATAATTTTGATGTTAGTATGGACATTATAGTAAAAATTCTACTTTCTTTTATTTAATCAAAGATCAATGAAGCAACTCTGTGTTATAAGCACTAGAAGTAAAAGGAGAGCTGCAGATAGAGAAAAATATAACAAAAACTGGGTAAAAGATTAGGGCTTCACCCTGATTTTCAAAGCATAGAGCAGATGTACACAGAAAAAACTTTTAAAAGCTTGAGGAGGAGAAGAGAGGAAGGAAAGGTATGCCTGACCTGCAGTTTAAGATTAATTTTGTGCGGCAAGTTCAGGAACGTTGGAATTTTAAGGGTTTGTTTTGCCCACTGTTTAGAGTCACTTCATATTTTTGTGCTGGAGCTGCACTTCTCCAGTGATAAACATGTTTAGCTCCAGGCATTTGGTTTGTCACCAGCTGGGAGCAGGAGGAAAGCCTTGCTTATTCTCCTGTCTAGTGAGAAGTCGCTTGGAAAGCTGCTGTTCCTTCAATTCCAAAAACTACAGCTAATTTACTCAACCATTATTATTTTTTTTTTTGAGAAGTTATAGTTGGATGGTTCTTATTACCGAGTGTTTTTCATTTTGTCCTAACTCTTCTTATGTTTTCATTTTGGATATTGGGCTACAGAGCATCATAATGTGTACCAGTACAGATACAAAAAAACCCCAACTTGTTTATATTATTTTATTATAGACCAGATTGTAACCTGTCCTCTATATTATTTTAATGAAATAAGAACGCAGAAAACACTGTTATTTATCAGAAGCAGTGCTTTCGGTTAAGTGGTGCACTGCTACTGTGTCACTACACTGAAAAGGCCATTTTTCAGCACAATGAAATATACTCTGCTCTCAGAGTAAACCTGAGTTCTATCCTTTTGGAACAGTCCATAGACACAGGGAATGTATGCTGTACGTGGCATGATGTATGATCTTGTAGGAGCAGGAGAAGCTGAGCCAATGTTCCTGTTTTAAAAAGCAAGGGAAAACAGAAAACCAATTTGGAGTTGAGGCTAATCGAAGTGTGGCTAATCTGAAGTACTAGATTTGTCTTATGTAAAAACCTAGTATACTTTTACTGTAGGTTTATAGTCCTAATTACGAAATTCACATTGATTATCCCTGTATAACAATTTGTGCAACTCCTCCTGTAACCATCCTTGAATGACACCACTTATTTAAAAAAACACTTGGAACAAAAGAGTAGCTTGTATTACCTCCAGCTCCATGTGTTTTTCTTCCTTGTCATGGTCCTTCAATTCCTTTTCAGAATGATCACTGCAGTCCTCTAAATGACAGATGTGTTGATATTTTGTAAGTTCATGTTTAGCTTGCTTTCTTTGGGAAACATTCCTTCTATGAAGACCACTGAAAAATGCCTCATGCAGTGGCAGTTCTGTAAACACGTCATCATCATCTCTACCATCTGCTTCTTCCTCTTCAGATGAAAAATCTTCTGCTTCTCCTGCCTCACAAATATAGAGTTTAGTATTAGCTTCATGCGATAAAAATTCAAAATCAGAAAATGCGATAGCACTTGGTTTGTGTTTTATGACCCTGACTTCATGACTCCTTCCCGGTTTCTTGTCTGAATTTGTTCCTGTGAGGACTGGCCATTCCGTGTGCAAGGGAAGGTTTAAAGGATCTTCCTTTGGCTCGTGCCTTGCGGAACAGAGTAATTCTTCACAAAGGTGCTTTGTCTCAGGCTGATGGGTGGCACTGACGCACCCTGCAGCCGTGCCAGGTTGCAAAGATGTCTCATTGTGGTCTAATAAGGATGACGCAGCCAGCAAACGCAACTCAGGTTCCAGTAAAACGTTCTGAAATTCAGATGGACTTGCCTGTTTTTCTATCTTTCTTTGGTATTCTTCATACTTTGCTTCCTTTGGAGTCCCCAGGCGCTCGGTAGATGTAAGATAAGGTGAGCCCTGTTCTTCTTCATAGATGTTAGTTTCCATTCCAATGAGTTTCGTCCATCAGAGATCAAAATGACTTCATTCTTGGTTTTCGTAAGAAACATAACTCTGCATATGTAGCCTGGAAGTATCTTCGTATTTTTCCAAAACCATGATCACACAATCATGATTAATGCCTGGATTCTCATACAAAACATCTGAATCCTCTCTGCTCCTGAAAAAAAAAAAAAAAAAAAAAAAAAAAAAAAAATGAAAAACGCTTACACTGGTGCTCCTGTAATGCAAGCTTCTCTGTGCTCCTAAAAAAAAAAAAAAAAAAAAAAATTAATGATGGCAACATGCTTGCATTGGAGTGCATCAGCAACAGTAGTCCTGAAATTCACATACCAAATTTACTTATAGGTCTCCTAAAAATATTTGATGTATGCTGATTAAATGAACTTAAAACATGAGAACCTTGGCTTGTTTACCTCAGAGACTAGGAAAGAACTGGCAACTGCAGAAATGGTTTTTAAATATTGACTTTATGTTGATTATTGACACGATGGTTCAGAGTCATTCAAAGTGGTTAGGTGTATGCTTGTTACTGAAACATGTCTCTGTTCACTATATTATCTGTTAAATCATTGAAAACTTATGCAGTGTTCTGGTAAAGCTGCTAAAATGTCACGGGGAAGAGCAAGGAGCCAAAGTAGTTGACAGAAAAGAAAGAATATATCAATATAGGTAGAATTTTCTGTGAATTGCCAATGCAGTGCAGCACCTGTCCACTTGCAATAAATCTGCAAAGAAAAAAGAGGAGGCTAAAAATAACAGAGAGCTTCAGCACTACATCAGAGTTGGCCATGCCTGGTTTAAATCAGCCTCAACTCCTGGGCTCACATCCAGGCTGTGCACCTCCAACGCATGGGAAGAAGGGAGCAGCTGAAGAACCCATCCTGCATCACTGAATAGCTTACATTCACCCATTTATGTCACTTACTTCTTGTGACAGATTGAATATTGATAGTATTTATTTTAATGATTGTTTCAGTACTCCATCTGTGAGACAGCAAAGCAGAACAGAAGCTTTTCAAAATAAAAAGGGAAGCTTTAAGCCTTTGATGTGTGTGGCAAACCTGTCAGTGCTGAGGAAGACGTGTCGGGAGGCAGCGCTGTGATTGTCACAGTGGGAAGCGAGCGGAGTCGGATGCTGGGGTGAGCCGTGCCTCTCGCCGCGTGTGCCACAAACTGAGCAATGCACACCAGAGATTGGCAGATTTTCGTAGTCTGTATTTCAGTGTTACAGACATACATAGGGTAATAGAAGGAATACTGACACACATAGAGAAAATTCGGGTTTATTCTATTACCTTTGCCATTTGAACTGCAGCTGTGAAATGTGTGGGCGTGCAGGTACAGGCTACTTAGGTAGAGTCCTTTCCACTATTGCTAGCCATTTAAAAATCAGACATTATTGTAAGCTGTCTAACCTCCTGCTGGAGTGAGTGGAGAGAGAAAAATGCTTCCAGAAGGTAAATGCTCTCACTTAATCTTAGATACCTATTTTGATGCAGGGTGAGTCTCGCTCCTGGCATGAGTGCCTTATCCAAAAATACAGAGTATGTCTAGACAAAAAGCTTACACCAGTCGCCCAGCTTTCAGAGGGACAAATAAAGGCAAGAAGAGTCTCAGCCCATATCTTTGTTACACAATAATAATAGATTGCATTGTCTACATGGGAATGAGAAACCTAAGTTTGAAGGCCTCATTCTCTCGAGTCAGCCATAGCCACTATGTAGAAGTGTCTTCACTTTCACAAGTGCTGGACACCTTTGCTTTCCCCTAACATTATGTGAACTAATTGAGCACAATGTCTTTGAAAAACAAAATGCATTCCCTGCATTTGTAGGAAATTATGAGAATTGTGGGGACAGGTAAAAAGCCTCCTGCCATTTCAGGTGAATATTATTATCTGTGTTTCACTGTGAGCCATCGCCTTTGTTTTTCAGTCCCTGGCACCTCCGTACCCTGCAAGAAGTCATGCTGCTAGCACCCATCATCCCACCATGCAAAGGCAGATATAAAGAAAAAAGGTTTGCCTGTTCTAGAAGACTTCCCAAAAGGCAGCCAGAAGAGCTTTGGCCTGGCTGCCTACACCAGCCTGCTGCCTTCAGGTGAGAGGGCAGGTTGTGTTCACCAACTGTTGGTGCTGGTCGCTGCCCCGTTCCTCACCTATTGGTAGCTCCAGGAGTAGCACTGCTCAGGTCTCCTGGTCTCCCTCACAGTCTCTCTCATGGCCTTACCCCATCCTGTTGTCACTCTTCCTTCTCTGGCAGAAATTACCCATCCTTAGCATTTTCCCTGGGCCTTTTTTATTTCTGGTAATCCTGCCAAGCAGGATCTGCTGCGATGACGTCTGCAGGAACACACCTTTGTGTTCATAGGAATATCTTTGCTCTATCAAACCCAAAATACAGCAAAAAAGTTACAGAAATTCTGCAATAGGCAAGTGTGGGATAAGTGAATTACATAATTTTTATTTTTAGTATTTTGGGATGATGCTTTAGACTCTACAACATGAACTATCATCCCTGCAAAAATTTGTATTTTCACTTGTCTCTGAATATTCCTAGCATCTAAAATCAATACCCAGCTTCTTTTAAAATTTTGCTAAGTTCTTTCTCTCAAATTAGTTTTGTGGGGGTTTTTTGTTTGTTTGTTTGTTTTTTTTTTTTCTTCAGGATGTGGTGTAAAGCTGTAATTTTTACAGTTGAATTGCGAAAGACATGAAAGAGTTTTTTCTGTTTATTAGATTTGCTTACTCCATTGGACTCTTTTTTATTTTTTCCTGGGATGAGACTGGAACAAAGAAAGCATGCAAAAGCAGGCTGGTTTTGTGCAAGTATGGCAAGAAATCTCTGAAGAGGAAGTGGTAAGAAAGAGAGTGTGAGTTTACTCTTATTCATCCTGTGGAACATATCTCTTTACTCAATCTAGCAGTTGCTGGAAAAAACCCCACACTCTTATACAAAATATCAAATTCCATATTTTATAAAGAGTTACACATAGACGTTTATAGCTCCTAAAAATGGAGCGTTTTTGGCAGAGCTGTGGATTTGGAAATCCTGCCCATAGCAAAATGTGTAACTCAGAGAGGCCTGAACATTCAGAGCTAAATCTGCACGTGTCGTAAAAAGCCCTGCAAAATAATATAATTCTCAACACAGTTCTGAATATATGCGCTTACAAGTTCTGAAAAATAATAATCTTTCTGGAAAAGGTCTTCAAGGCTTTACAAATAGGGAAATGACTTTCATATGCATACGCAATTCTAAATATATACTGTAGCATTAGCTCTACTAGTAGGTGCTAGGGTACCTAGAGATGTTGAATAATAAAAGTCTGTTGGGTGTGTATGTGTTTTTTTCCAACTAAAAAGGGACCACAGCTAACTATCCAACCAAAACTGACTCCAAAACAACTTAAGGAAGAGCATAAAAAAAAGCAACATAGGATTTTTTAAAGCTAAAATGTGAAATGCATATCTGGGTGTAGCAACTTCAGCTTTTTACACACGTGAGTTTAAAACTTACAAACCAAATTTTATTTATTTAGGAAAGCTCCTTATAAATCAGCAATAAAATAATACAGGTTTGTGATACAGCTAGTGAAATGCTATGTAAGGAAAGTTCCCGTGTGGTCTGACACAAGCGAATGTGTATGTGCAGACTCACAGACTCTATTGGCTTGATTCCCCTTTGCCCAGACAACTAAAATTTATATTAAAACTCACCAAGTTTTGCATAAAGATCAAAAAAAAAAAAAAAAGGCACATATTAAGCTTAATCATCAAAGAGAAGGATTTTACAGAGACTTTACTATACATAGACTCATTTCTATGTTCTTGAGTTAATACAGGGAGAATTGTTTTCTGGGGCAAATGATTATGCTTTATTTGATAGGGTTACTGTAACAGCAAGTCACCTAAACAAACTTTTCAAACTTTGCTTAAATTAGTGCATTTCAATACCCATTATGTATTTTTGGCATTACAGAGCATGTGAATGTGTGGAATTTGCTTACTTTAAATTCAATTTAAACTCAAACTGACATAGTAAACTAGCAAATCAAGTCCTGATCCTGGCTGGAACAGTACACCACTCATCTAAAATAACAAGGTTTTGCCCCTCAGCCCCTAATGCATTTGTTTCCCTTTCACAATGACTTTGCTTAGTATTTCCCATTGACTTAAACAATCTTCCCCTGAAAAATTAAGCAAACAAGCTAAGAGAATGGAGACACATAGACTAAGAGCAAATTAGGAGATTAGGATTTTTTTTCCCTGATGATAATTTTACCTGTTTTTGCAAGGTAACCCCATATTTTTCAATTCAGTTAATTTCCATAAGCGTAACAACAGGAACTCAGTTAGTAGCCAAAAGATCCTCCAAGCGTTGGGGCAGAACAGAAAAAGAAGTGAGCAGATCCTTAACAAAAGGCATTTCAGCTTGCTTGCTGCACAAGAACTATGTCAACAGAAGTATGTGTGAGAATCCCTGGGGCGAAAACAGCCTTCTGCAAGCAGTGGCCAAATTATTCACAGAAAAAGACAGGAAAAAAAAAAAAAAAAGAGAAGGAAGGAAAAAAAATAAAAAGAGAGAGTGAGAGAATGCTTCACAAGAACACCAGGCACTTCTAAAAATACCGTGTGACCTCATTCTTCACATTATGCCAGATCTTAACATTGTGCTTTGCTTTATCACCTGGAGCACCTGGAGTCAGGTTCCCACTGCACACACTCGAGTTTGGATGCTGTCAGGTTGTGAGAAGGTGAACTGTGAAATGCCTTTTGATGTAGCATAAAGCCACTATAAAGGAATACCAAAATTAGCTTTCCATGTCACTTGCAAATTCTAATTATTGTTTGCCTGTGTTTCTTCAAGACCCACATTAGCTGCCAAAGCTTCACAAGTCTTCCCTTTTATATATATTCATAGGATCATAGCTTGCAGACAGACTTCTGCATGCACTGCAAAGGGTAGCTATAGTGTAGGTTACTGGACATACGAGTTTCTGAGTGGGATTATAAGTCAGTTATTTGCAAATCTAGCCTGGAAAGGAAAAGGATGAATTATCACTGGAAATACGGGGTGAGAAGATTCTGAGTTATAGTTTAATTTTGGAAGCGCTTTCCTGTATTGCTTTTTATTAGAGTAAACAGCAAAAATGGAA